ATGAAAGCAGGATTTATTACACACATTCTACAAAAGGGGAAGTGAGAGCCAGAGAGATCACAGGCTGAGTAACTGGCACGCCTGGTTTGGAAATGAAGTCCTGTTAATCCCAAAAATACCCATTTAGTAAACTTCCGCACAGTGCCCACGAGAGGCCAGCTCCCAGACGCTGAACTTGACGTTGTCCAGCGTTCCAGTTTTTTCTTGTTAATGGCCAACTTCAGGAAAGCACTGCCCTGTAGGAGCGGCCCCCTGTCCCCGACTAGGGTTTTCTTCAAGGATCAAGAGAAACAGTCCCACCGATCCCTGTAGAGAGTGCCTGGGAAGGCACATGGGCATTTCTTTAATTACTGTCAGCTGAATCCAGTGGTGTTGACAAAGCCATGTCCTGGAAACATGCTTTGCCAAAAGGCAAGAGTGTTGTCAGCTTGACCTTCAGCCCAGGTGCCAGGGGGTGGGTTTTGTTATTTAAATCCAGCCAAGCACCTGGAATGAATACGACTCAGGCCCACCCAAGAATGTACATAATCTCCTTTGTCTTGACCGTTAGTAAAACTTCCTGTTTTTTGCTGTATAAAGTAAACACGCTGTATTGGCTCTGGGTCCCTGTCCCTGTCTCTCCATCAGAGGACAGTGGTCCCACCTGGTCCCAGCTTTTTCCTTCCATCTCTGTGTCTGTCTCTTTCATTTTCTCAATCCCCAGCCACCCCTACTCAGGAACCGGACCGCTCTCTAACTGAGCTGGACACGGAGAAGAGAGACATATTTACAAATCCCAATCCACTTTTTGCTGTATCCAAGACTTTCGCTTATTGTTGTTTCTTTTTTCCAACTCCCAGCTGTTTCTATTCCCGGAGTGTGACCTTCTGAAGGAAGATTAGCATGGGATACTGAGGTCATTCTAAGGTGGGCATCATTACTCCCAATTTTTTAAATTTTTATTTTTATTGATTTCAGAGAGGAAGGGAGAGGGAGATAGAAACATCAAAGATGAGAGAGAATCATTGACCAGTTGCCTTCTGCACACTCCCTACTGGGGATAGAGCCCACAACCTGGGCATATGCCCTGACCCAGAATTGAACCGTGACCACCTGGTTCATACAGGTCAGCTGTTTTATACATTACAATCCCAAGAGGAGACATAAGTGGGTTACATGAAATCCATTGGTGATAGATTTGGGAGGTGGGAGAAAGCAAAGCCAGGGAGGTGGGGGAAGCTCTGGGATTGGATAAAAAGTGAAATGATAGACACATACTTCTTTTAGGTGGGAGCAGGAAAGTTAAGTCAACAATTAATAACGAGGGGATTTGTGGTCTCCTCAGAGCAGTGCCTGTGCTTTGAGGGGTCCAGAAGAAGGAAAATTTGGACATCCCAATGATATGTTATCATAGATGCAAAAAGACACTAGGGTCAGTTAAGGCAAAGATTGGCCTTTGTCAGGGAAAATACCGGCCAAGGATATGACTACCCACCATACACTGCTTTTTAATGTAAAACGTTTTCATTTCAGACCATCCTTTGTCCTTAATTTAGGTCTCTGAGTTTGCAAGACTGCCACACAGGCCTTCCCTGAGCTAGTCAGGTTAGCATGTGGCCCCTTTTCATCCACAAGGTTCTCAGATCACACTGCTAGAGGAAATATAAACAGAAAAATTAGAAGAGAGTGTTAAGAAAAGCTATAACAGTTGTTAATGTAAAAAAACATTGAAACCTGTAAAGAATTTTTGTGAGTTTATTTGAGCCAAACTGTCGACATATGCTGGGAAGCAGAACCTCAACGAATTGAGATAATGCTCTGGAGAATGGGAGGTTACATCTGTATTTTTACATTGTAGTCAAAGGAAAGGGATGTAGGTGGGTTACATGAAATTCATTGGTGATAGACTAGAGAGGCGGGAGAAAGCAAAGCAGGGAAACCCCTGGGATTGGATAAAAAGTAAAATGATAGACACATACAGTGGGGCCTTGACTTACGAGTGTCCCGACTAACAAGTTTTTCGAGATATGAGCCGTCTCTCAGCCGATTTTTTGCTTTGAGTTGCGAGCTAAAATTGAGGTTACGAGCCAGTTCAGATACCCCGCAGCTAGTTGGCGCAGCCAACGTCACAGTGAACGCCACAACATCAGCCCAGCATCACGTGTCAAATTAAGATTTGACATACGAGTAATTTGAGTTACAAGCTCCGTCACTGAATGAATTAAACTCGTAAGTCAAGGCCCCACTGTCCTTAGGTGGGTGCAGGAACAATGAACATAACAATAAAGGAATTTGTGGTATCTGTCCTGGCGCCCAGCACATTAGGCTGTGCCCCAAGGGGTCCAGAAAAGGGGAAGTTACAAGTTACGCAGACATTTCAAGGATATGTTATCATAGATGCAAAAAGACAGAGAGACTCAGTTAAGGTAAAGGTTGACCTTGTCAGTGAAGATACCAGTCTAGGATGTAACTACCCACCATCACTGCTTTTAGTTAAAGTTTAATTTCAGACCATCCTTTGTGGAGACTTTAGGTCTCTGAGTTTGCAAGATGGCCATGCAGGCCTTCCCTGAGCTGGTCAGGTCAGTATGTGGCCCCTTTCGCCCACACAGCGCTTTAGGAATAAAATGGGTCCCTAAGACCTGTCATCAGAAAGGCTCAGAATCCGCCCTGACCTTGTGGCTCAGGGGTTGAGCGTTGACCTATGAACCAGGAAGTCACGGTTGGATCCCAGTGGGGCACAAGCCCAGACTGTGTGCTAGATCCCTAGTGTGGGGCACTCGGGAGGCGGCCAGTCCATGAGTCTCTCATCATTGATCTTTCTCTCCCTTTCTCTCTGAAATCAATAAAATATACAGTGGGGGCCTTGACGTACGAGTGTCCCGACTAACGAGTTTTTTGAGATACCAGCTGTCTCTCCGCAGATTTTTTGCATTGAGTTGACAGAGTAATTTGAGTTAAGGAGCTCCTTAACGAGCTCCGTCTAGGAAGGAATTAAACTCGTAAGTCAAGGCCCCACTGTATTTAAGAAGAAAGAAAGGAAGAAAAAAGAAAGACTCATAATCGAGTTTTAAATAACATTCAAGCTTTCACCAAATGTCTCCAAGAGAAAACGAAAATTTTGATCCAGGGAGGGGAAAAGTTACACTGCAGGCGCAGCTGGTTGCGCGGCCAGAGGTTTTGAAGGGAAATGCTAGGCGTAGTCCAGCTCAGATTTTATCTTTTATCTTTTATTGACCTTAATCTTCAAAGAATTGAGCTGCTTTCTTTATCTGGGCGCCAGGCCCGGGGAATGCGGTCCAGCGCCCGGCGAGAGGGAAAGGGTCCCAGTCCGGGAGCTGGAGGCGGGGGCGACGGGCTCCTCCCCGGGCCGGCACCCCGCGGGGGGACAGATGGCCGCGGGTGGCCTCGCGGTGAAGGGCGGTAACCTCTGGCCCAGGGCTGCCCAGTGGTCAAGCCGGGACAGCCGCCGCACCTGACGCTCGGCCCTGCGGTTCTTACCCACGGCCACGCACGTGTCCCATTCCCGCCCTCTCATTGGCCCTTTCGGTCCCTCTCGGCCCCTCTCGGCCATAGAAGCCTGAGACATAATCGCCCCTCTGATTGGCCCAGGAGCTCCCATGTGTCATTCTGATTGGCCGACGGGGCTCACGCCCTCTCCGGTCGCATCAAAAGCCACTGGGTCTTACCATCAAGAGAGGAGGGGGAAACGTGAATACCTGCAGACTTCCCTTTTGTATGACCAGGCCCTGTGTCACGTAATGGCCTTTATCATGCTCTAAATAAAGTTATTTTATTAACACAGATAAATATAGAGCTATTTTGCTTGACCTTGCCTCGGAGGACAGTCGAGGGGACCCGGAACCCCCCCTCTTTCCGAGGTAGTGCGCTCCGGGCGGGGCCGCGCCGTCAGGTTGCGACCCGGTACACTGTCCCGAGAACAGCCTCACCGCGAGCTGAGATGCCGCCGCTGCCGCCCGTGCTTCGCCGCGCCCTGCTGGTCCGCCCCTGGAGTGGGGCCAGGTGAGTGCAAACCGGGCCTGGGGGCGCTCTGTCGCACGGGGTCCCGGGGGTCGCTGGCGTCCCTCATGCGGGACTCCCTCCCTGCCGGACCCCCACCAGGTTCACAGGAGCTCCCCTCCGCGAGGGTCGCTTCTTCTAGTACCTCCCGTCCCCGTCCTCCCCCCAGGCCTTCCTCTCACTGCGACACCCCTGTCTCCTTCCTACAGCGAGGGGGACCCTTCCCCATCTGCGGCCGGGTGGGGGCCTGGCTGCTCTCCCGGCTCCCGAGTCCCGAAAGCAGCCTCCTACGCCCTGGTCTTGCTCCATCTAGGCACCTTTCCAACGCGCCCACTGCCGGCTGCCCCTGGGGCACCTCTGTTGTTAGTGCAGCGCCCTCTCCGCCCCTCCCTCCGTCTCACACTCAGGACCCACCTCCGGGGTTCCGAGACTTCCCTCTCCGCTCTCTCCCGGGACTTCTCCTCTCTTCCCCTTTTTCAAGTTAAGTGCTGGGCCGAAGAGGGCTCCTTTCTTGTGACACGTGGGATAACGTGTGTGGAGAGCTGGGCCTTTGGCGTATGCTTTATTGTAAAGACGGAGTGAATTCATTAGCGTGCACCAAACGGCGGCAGGCGCATCGGCAATGCCAAGTTACCATCACGATCCTCGTTGTCACTTGCATTTTAAACTTCTGTGCGGTAGGTATTATTATTGCACATTACAGATGAAGACTAATTTCCGAGTGGAGTGCAAACCCCCACGGTGTGGAGTTGGGTTTCTGGGCCCTTGCTCACTCCATGACACATGTCCTCACAGCCCCACTCCTGCTGGGGACTGGGAGGGGGAGGTAGGACACAGACCCTGCTTCAGAGGGGCTCCCAGTCTGGTGAGGCTGCCCCCCTTATTGGACCTGTGTTTCGGGGGTCTGCCTTTCAGAGCTGGGCAGCCGCTCCCCTCCCCCCATTTGAGTGTTGTTTGCCTGATCCCCAGGACTGTGACCAGCTCTGTCTCCTGCTGAGCTAGGCTCTTTCTGAGTTAATCAGTGTCCTAAGGGATGGCACAGGGGTGCCCTGGGCAGGGGTGAGTTTCAACACTGCTGTGTGTCCTCCGTGGGTGGGGATGGGGTAGGGAAGGGCGCAAGACGAGGACGAGGACGTGGGGGAGAAGGGCTCCCCTGCAAGCCAAGGTTGGGGTCGTACTTGCCACCCCCTGTCCTGCATTCGGAGACCACCCCTCTCAGACTGCAGATGGAAGTCCCATAGAGTTACAGTGTAACCTCGTTTCTTGAACGTTATTTGTTCCGGAAGGCTGTTCGAAAAGCCATTTGTTCGCAAACGGAATACTTTTTTCCCATTAGAAATAATGTAAATTGAGTTAATCTGTTCCAGAGCCCCAAATGATTTCCTGTTTCAGAGGAACTAAAGTACTCTCATTTATAAGTAAACACTTTACTTAAATTTATCAAATCACCCCCTACTAGCCTCCAAAATCCTGTCACCAGCTAACTGCTTTTACTTTATCCAATCAACAACAGTTTTTCTACCTATTCAGTAGTCTGTGATTGCTGTTTTGTGAGCACTTTCACACCCTTAGCAACATTAGAACTTGTGATGGCCTCTTTATGTTTTAAAATTGTGCCAACGCCAGTAACAAAAGCATTCCCTCCTTTGCTTGTTGCCTGCAAGATGCATTTTGTCATGCGGAGCTTTCAGCACGAAAGGGTTGTCAGATCGAAAACTGAAGTTTTGGTCGACAACCGAGACATTGTTTTCTGTGAACAACTTGGTCAAGAACCGAATTGTTTGAGGTGGGAGACATTTGAGAAACGAGGTTTGACTACTTGTTTGCAGTACCTACCATGTGCAGGTGCTGTGCTAAACACTGGAGCGAGGGGTGCCCAGGCAATTTACCTGTGGATGGGGCCTTCGAAGAGTTTTCATATCATACCCTTTATATCCTGTATATTGGCTTCTTTTGTTCAACTGAGGATAAAATGGCAAGAGGATATGAGGGAGGGGGGGCATCTAGCGGTGGAGGAAGACTTAGACGTAAAAAAAACACCCCTCAAATATCTGGTAGAAAGCAATCCATGTTCTCTTTTTAAAAAAGCCTATTATAACAATCATGTTTATTAGGCAATCAAATTCCAACGGCCTGGCACAGTGCAGATAAGCACTGCATTACCCCATTTTACAGATGCCAGACTATCTGCCCAAGGGGCACACACAGTTCGAGGTCAAACAGCCGAGCTTGGTAATTTCGGTAACTGGTTCTGTTGTCAGTGGCGTGTCAGACTCGCAGCTGGTGGGCCGCATGCCTAAATAAACTAGGCGTGTGGCCCTCCGGCCCAGAGTTTGACATGCTTTTCTCCAGCTTTTGTTGGTTAATCTTCACCTGAGGACATTTTTTCCCCGTTGATTTTTATTTTTTCTTTAGAGAGAATGGAAGGGAGGGAGGGGGGGAGAGAGAAAGAGAGGAACATTGATGGGTTGCCTCCCGGTGTGCCCCAGGGCTGGGGAAGGAACCTGCAACCCTTCAGTATGGGCCTAAGCTCTACCACTGAGCCACACTGACCAGGGCTCTGCAGCATTTTTAGCGGGCAGACCTCTATTCAGAGGTGCACTAAGCCACACCCCAGCCACGTGCATTTGTTTACTCGAGGTGACTGGTGAATGCACGTATTTGCTAGGCCTATTCAGTATAAATTTAAAATTATAATACATACAGAAAACTTTTCTGTGAAAAATGTTAATTATACAAACGTGTCTACGTAAGTAAAAATAGGCAAACTGCATAATTTGTCAATTTTTTAACATACACATTCAGAGAACCTACTTTATCATGTAATGGACTTTCGGCTTTAACAGATACCGCCTCACCCAAATTAATCTGTTTTATGGAGGTTTTACTGTTGATAATACATTTGTAGGGTGCATTCGATGCGATAATCACTTAGCATGGTGCCAGGCATGGTGTAAGTGCTTAATAAATGCTCCTTGATGTTTCCGGGGCAATAAAATGCACGCTAGATGCCCCTCCTTCCTGGACCTGCTCTGGGCCCCACACTGTGCTGGCCGCTTATCTCTGTGATAAGGAGGATTAACCTAATCAGGCCCCAGATAACAGCTGCCAAAGCCCGGAGGCTGAAGGAAGCTAGAGTAATCTCCTTTCTACTCTTCTTCTTGGCTGTGGCCACTTGGGCCTCAGCCACTGGGAAGCCAAAGGGACCTGCACCCAGTCCCAGGTGCTAGCAGGTGCGCACTGGCCTGGGAGTCCAGGCCTGGGGGCCTGGTGTCCGCTCTGACACTGCTTGCACGTTAATTGTTTTCAAAGGCATTTCTCAGGTGCTAGCCCCCGCTGGGCAGCGTGTCCCCTGGTGAATGGAATGGACACAGGCCGGCCCAGCGGAGCTTATGGCCGGGTGGGAGCGCTGTAATGTGGGTTGTCACAGGTGCTGTGAGGAAAGTGCGGGGCTCATGAGGACCCGAGAGGGGCCCGTCCAGTGGTTCGAGGCCAACCACATGGAGAATGCCCCACGCAGAGGGGACCGCAAAAATGACCAGGGCGACTGGGTCACAGCAAACGAGCTGGGAGGCGGTGGGGGCGAAGGCAAATGGGTCTGGAGGCATCGGTAGGGATTCTGGCTTTTTGTTGCAGAAGAAATAAGAGGCCATGAGTAGTCTTGAGCCAAGTGCTTACTCTGTCTGCTGATCAAATTTTCATGTTAAAACTGTAACTTTGACGGTGATTTGGAGAGTAGCCTGGTGACAGTGGAGCTGGAGTGGCCATTGCAGTTGTCCAGGCAAAAGCTGGTGGTGCTGTAGACCAGGGTGCAGGCCGAGGGAAACCTGGGAGGGAACTGAGCTTCCCCGCCAACTCCACCCTGCCTCCCTTGCCCTCAGGTTTAAGGTTGCACTGACTGTCCAGCCCTGATGTTGCCCATTGCAGGGGATGTTCTGATGTGGCTCTTAAAGCTCAGATTCTGGTACCTGCACAGGATGGGGCGGGGTAGCTAACGTCTCACACCCAAGCCAGGAGGTCCCCAGGTGAGAAGAAGGGGCACTTCAGGTTGTTAAGGAATCGGAGTCAAATTCAGACTCTGCCCTCTGCCTCCTTCCTGAAGCTAGAAGGCTGAGAGCTGCCCTAAGAATGGTCAGGTTCGGTTTATCCCAGACGCAGGCACCTGCTTGGTGGGTACTCAGGAAATAGGTGGTGAAAAATGTGCAAGCCTTTTCGACCTCACCTGAGTTACCACTGAGCTCTTGAAGTGTGAAGTAATGTGTGCTGGCTGCATGAATGCATGAATGAATGAATGAACGAATGAACGATGCAGGCCTGCCTAGAAGGGCCTTGCAGATCCTCATAGAGGCCCTAAGTTTGAGTGGTTCCTCTATGCCTCGCCCTCAGCCAATGGAAGGGTGTTTCTTTGGAGTCCATGGTTTTTTTTTCTTGGCTCTGTCCGACTCAGGATGATCTTTGAACTAGTCTGTCCCTGAGGCCACACTCAGACTGACACAGCTGTACCAGGGCCTGGATTTTCTAGGTTTAGAGAGAGCCCTTGGGGCGTGTGATCCTGAGGTCGCAGTGGACCTCTGCTCTGGGGAAGGTGGAGTGAGGCTTGCAGGATTTCTGTTTCTGACCCTGCCTGGAAGGGGACAGGGAAAGGAGAGCTGGCAGTGTGACATTTTCAGCTTCTGCCCTGGGTGGAAGGGTTGCTGTTTATCCCAGCCGTATTTGGTGAGCACCTGTGCCAGCCCCTGATCCTTGGGGTGTCTGGGAACCGATTTGCCTTTGAAAGCCTGGCATGGTGGAGTAAGCATCCCAGAAGATCTTTACAGTTCCTTTAGAGCAGTGGTTTACATACCTTGACCAGCGGGCGGGAGTGAACCTCAAACCCAGGAATGTGCCCTTGACTGGGAATCCAACCTGCGACCCTTCTGGGCGGGGGCAAAGGAAAAAATTCCAGAAGTGGGATGGGGAAGCTGAGACAGAGAGTTAAACAGCAGTTTGTGCTCGCCCAGTATATCCTATCTTCCCTAAACCAAGGACACTTAAGAGGAATTCCAGAAGTAGGATGGGAAGCTGAGACAGAGTTAAACAGCAGTTTGTGCTCGCCTAGTAAATCCTATCTTCCCTAAACCAAGGACACTTAAGAGTAAATGGTTTGCACTTCTCCCCAGCCAGGGGGTAAATAGCTTAAACCACCTACTCAGGGAGACATAACAGAAATCCATTTAAGTGCCATTTGCCAATCACACCCAAATTAAGAGAATAAATCTCATTTGGGGACATCAGCATCAGCTGATGAATATTCTCTCGATGCACCCCTAAACACCCAGCCTTTAAAACCCCCCAAAATGAAGGTCTCAGTGCTCTCTCCAGGGAGCATGCCTGTGCCACTATCCCCTAACCTCTAAGGGACCCCGTAAGACTTGCAACCAAGGCAGCAGCGGCAGCTCGCCCTGGGCTAACCCCTGAACCTGTTTCCAGGGCCCCCTTCTCCCCCTTTTCTCTGACCTCCCAGTGAGCCAAAGCAGCCCAGCCCGGGCTCTCCTGTTGCTTCTTCTATGCCCTTCCTCGTTTCACGGCCCTTACGTGTGTTTTTGCTGCGGTGGGTAAATTCTTGCTTTGCTGCCCGTTGTCTCTTGATTGTCTTGGCTCAAGAAGACAAGAGGCGAGATTCCTCGTCTTGCACGGTAACACTGGGATGGGACCTAGGATGACCCCCTCTTTCAGATGCGGGATGTGTGCTGAGGTCTCCGAGCAGCTGTGGGCTTTGGCCTGGGATATGTCTGCGCAGAACCTGTGCTATTCCCACCCACCAGGACCAGGGGGTCGGAGAGGGGTTGGGTGGCCCCTGGGTCCAGCCCAGCACTCGTTCTCTGCTGACCCGGGGCCCTTTCTTGGCTTAAAGAGAACCTGGCCGCATCGGATTTACTGATTGGTGGTGGTGTCTCCTGAGGTCGGCGTAGACTCCGCCCTCCCCTTGCTGGTGTTTGCTGGCCTCCCTGCTCTTCCCCCACTACAACAGGTGGAAGGAACAGTGTGGGTTTTAATTTATTGAGCACCTCTAGAGCTTAGTATTATCTCCTCAGATCTCCATTGTAACCCCACAAGATGGGTGTCACCCTAGTCCAGTGGTCGGCAAACTCATTAGTCAACAGAGCCAAATATCAACAGTACAACGACTGAAATTTCTTTTGAGAGCCAAATTTTTAAAATTTAAACTATATAGGTAGGTACATTGTTATTAACTTATTAGGGTACTCCTAAGGCTAAGGAAGAGCCACACTCAGGGGGCCAAAGAGCCGCATGTGGCTCGCGAGCCGCAGTTTGCCGACCACGGCCCTAGTCAGTGACTTGCCCAAAGTCACACAGCTACTGGAAGGTGAGGGTGGGGCCGAGGAATGTGTCTGGGTCTGGTGGGTGTGGCCTGGGGGTGACCAAGGAGGAGAGAGGAAGGTCCCAGGGCTGCCTTGCCCTTGGGGATCTTGGGCCACTCAGCCCCGCCCCTCAACCACACAGGCCCCTTTCTGCTCTCGCCTGGGCCTGGACCACTTTTCCCAGCTCTCAAACCTCTGCCAGGTCTCCGCTGAGCTCACCTCCTCAGGGGGCCCTCCCTGACCACCCTGGCTCCACCCTTCCCCTTACTTACTCATTTTCAGGGCCCTTCTGTCATCAGAGTGTTCACTTCTTGCCTCTGTCCCCCACTCGGCAGAGTCGGCTGTGTGCAGCCAGCGCCTTGCTGTCTTGGTCACCGCTGTGTCTCCGGGGTCTGGAACAGCGTCAGAGATGCAGCAGGGGTTCAGGAACCTGGTAGGGGGAATGCGGGACCTGCCCTCGCAGCCCCCTTTCTGTGTCCTTCCCGCCCTCAGCTACCACCCACACCTCTTCCCAGTGAGAAAGTCGGAAGCCCCTAACCCTCATAGCCAGGCTCCCGTTCTCCTGTTGGGCATTTGCCACCTTCCAGAACACTGGCCTTAGACGAGGTCACTCTGAGGCACAAGCCTGTGTCATAGTTTCGTTTGAGCACAGATGAAAGTAGATTCACCGTGCCATCCCCAGAGTGCCAGGCATACCCCCTCTTGCCAAATGAGGGGCTGCTTCCCCCAGGTGTGCACTCTCCCTCCTGCATCGAACAGTCACCCCACTTGTCCACCTGCAGGTGCGTTCCCACTGGTCTCTGGCTGGGGACATTGACACCAGAGGGAGATGATACCTGGGTTTTTCTGGATTCGAATCCAGGTCTCCTGATCTTGATCTTGAACTAGCCATTTTCCTTTTAGGACCTAAGTTACCTTATTTCTATAATGAGGCCACTGGTGAGAGCCATCCGATGGGCCTATCCATGGCGGATGGGAGGCAGTATCGAGCCTAAGGAGCCCTGGGTGTGTTAGGTGCCTCTGTCATTAATGTCCCCATTTACAGACGTGGAAACGGAGGCCTGCAGGACAAGTCCCACGGCTGAGGCCCCAGCTCTGGAATGACTGACTCTAAAGTGTTACCCACATGTCCTCCCACCTCATGACCCCCCCACACCTTTGGGGTGGTAGTCATAGTGTTCACTGAACAATGAGGTCACAGGTTCCAGACTGAATGGGAGCTCCAGAACAAGGAGTTCTTGAAACTCAGTGCCCAGGAACCAGACCCTGAACCCCCAAACCTGCCCTCCCTCTCTCTGTGAGCTGAGCTCAGGGCACTCTTCCAAGTTCCCAGCTACGGCTTGGGCTTTCCTGCTCTTGCTCCGTTCACTCTGTGTGCTGGAACTCAGCTCCGTCCGGCCTCTTCAGCTTAGAGGAGCGACTGGGTCTGTTCTGGGGTCAAGTTGGCCACGTGGGGACACGCTCTCCACGTACAAACACTTACTTAGAAATGCTTTTGTACCCCTGGACTTAAACTCCAAACACGTGGGTTGTATGATTACTCTCACTTCCTGGTGTAGAAACAGGCTCAGAGGAGGCAGCTCACGTGCCCAGGGACACACAGCAGGACTGGGACTAGAACTTGGATTTTGTACCCCAAGGCCTGTCTCGCCCCCCAGTTCTATAGTTGCCCTGGATTTCAGGATTCCCGGCCAGCCCAGGCTCCCCTGTTGGAGTCTGGGTCTGTGGTCTCTGCTGACCTGCCACCTCTCTCCCTGCCCTTGCATCCAGGCTTCGGTGGAAACACGCCTCCTCCGTGAAGGTGGCCAATGAGCCCGTCTTGGCGTTCACCAAAGGCAGCCCCGAGCGAGATGCACTGCAGAAGGTAAGGTGCAGGGCGTGGAGAGAGACAGCCTCAGCAGCCCAAGGTGCTTCTCTGTGCTGCGGCCATCACCCCTCCCCCTGCCCCTGCTCCCAGCCGCGGGGTCTGGGGAGGGCTGTGTGTCTGGAGCCTGGAGAGGCTGGGAGCAGCCGGGGCTATTTGGTCCTCAGTGCCGGTCAGGAGTCATACGCTCACAGAACTTCAAAATGCTCTCCCATTAATTGCTAGTATTTTAAAGCTGTGAGATTCCACGTAAATTCGAGGTGCAGTTTTTGAATCTTTTTTTAACGGGAAAACCTGTCAATACTGGCCTCTCCTTCCTGCATGACAGGAAGTGACCAAGAAGGGGCTGCATTCCGTCCCCCCAGGGAGCACACGCTCTCTGGCCACAGCCCCACCAGCCGCCTCCTTGGTCCTGGTCCTCCGGGCATTGCATTAGCAGACTCCACGTCAGATCCTGGGTGGGAGAAGGGGAAGGAAGTGCCCATCTGACATCTTGTCCTCTCCTCAGGCCTTGAAGGACCTGAAGGGCCAGACCGAAGCCATCCCGTGCGTGGTGGGGGATGAGGAGGTGTGGACCTCAAACGTGCAGTACCAGGTGTCGGTGAGTCCAGTGGGTGGGCAGCTCTTGGAGAGGGGCAGTCAGTTTACAGGGCACCTCCCTCCTGGGCAGTGACCTCACTCCCCTCTTCTTTCAGCCCTTTAACCATGGACACAAGGTGGCCAAGTTTTGCTATGCAGACAAGGTGAGTCCCTGGCAACTTTGGGGTTGGGTGCTGCCCCTCTTTTGTCCTCCTGGCTTCAGACTTGGAGGTGGACATCAGGCACTGCTTCCCTCTGGCCGTGGGGGATGGGGGTGTAGATGGGACAGCTGGGAGTGGGAGTCCCTGGGTGGGTGCCTCTAACAGGGCCAGGCCAGCCAGGGTTAACTGGAGCCTAGTGGGAGCTGCCTTGATCAGGACTGGACACCCCTGGACATGCTGTTGCCATGGGGCAGACCCTGACGTGGGGCGAGTGAGGGTGGTGGATTCTGGAAGGCTGGGTCAGGGAAATTGGAGATATCACGGATGGTAAGTCAGCCGGCATTGGTATCATCACGGAGGGCCATCGAGAGGGGATGGGGTCACCTGTGGCTGGGGGTCTAGGAGCGAGCATCCTGTGGCAGTGAGGGCAGGTGGCATTGGGGATGCCGGCAGCAGGTGTACATCTCAGGCTGTGGCTCTGGCCTGGCCAGGGCAAGACCAAGGGCCCTGACCTTGAGGGCTGGTGGCTCTGGATGGTGGGTTCAGGGGCCCTGGGCCCCAGGCCCCAGGATTAAGGTGAGGCCCTGAGGAGGCCACGGGAGAACGTGGTTTAACAGCTGAGGGGCTTAGTGCCAGGTGCCTGGCATGCGGACCCTGCTGGCAGCTCAGACTTCTCCAGACTGGCAGCAGGACAGGTTCCGCGCCTGGGGTGGTCCGTGGCAGTGGGACACAGTAGACACTGGGGAGAGAACGCTGAGGGCCCAGGGAGCAGGGTCTTCCCCGGTGGAGCGTGACCTCCAGACTTCTCCTCCCTCGCTCATTCCCCTGGGACCCTTCCCGCTACAAAAGAAGCCCCGGCCTGTCCTCTCCGCAGGCCCTGCTCAACAAAGCCATTGAGGCCGCCTTGGCCGCCAGGACGGAGTGGGACCTGAAGCCTGTCACAGTCCGGGCCCAGATCTACCTGAAAGCAGCAGACATGCTGAGCGGGCCGCGCAGGGCAGAGGTCCTTGCCAAGACCATGGTGGGACAGGTGAGGCGTCTGCGGCACGGGTGGGGGGTAGGGGAGGGGGGGCAGTTGTGCCCTATTTGATTTGGCAGTCGTCAGCCGAGCAGTTTCTGGATGCCTAGACCTGCTCTGCTGGCTAGAGATTCAGAGATGTCCTCAAGGGACAAGGCCTAGAAGAGGGGACACAGAATGTTAGACAAGGTGGACTGTGCTAAACCTGCGTGTCCGACTATGGAAATGCTCCTTCCCCGCCTACTCTGTCCCCACCCCAGCAGGCCTTTGTCGTGCTTTGCCTGGTGTGACAGTCGCCCTATGCAGTCCTCTAGGCTTGGTGGGACCCTGCACCCTCAGGTTTTCCCGACACCCCAGCGGGCTGCTCAGGCTTACAGACCACTGAGGTCTACCAGCGAGAGGCACATCCCAGATCCTCAGCCCAGCCCCCAGTGCCCATCTCTCTCCAGCTCGCCAGCTGCTGCCCTTCCCGCCAGGCCGTCCCCTGTGATGATGCCAGTCTGGACCTGGTGACATTCCTGGACACCATAGGCGTCCCATATCCCTGCCTCTGCCTGGTGTCTCCTGCCTGAGTGCTCGCTCTCTTCTGTGCCCTGTGAACTCTTACCCATCAAGGGCCAGCCCAGATATCACCTCCACTGTGAGGCTTCCAGAACCTTCTCTGTCCAAAAGGATCAGCCTGCCTCCTAGCACGCTGTTCATTTGTCAGTTACAGCTCAGTTCGCATTGGGGCGGAATGACTTCCTATGTGTCTGTTGCCCCTTTACAAGCTTTTTGGGAACAGTAATCAAGTGTTAATGTCCTCCCACTTTTGGGGCCTTGAATCAGGTCTTCCTGGATAAAGGTTTTCTGAGTGCATTTGAGCCAGAGAGTGAGAGGCTGAGGGGGGAGAAAGCGTTAATTTCACCGTCCCCAGGAAGGAGTCTTTAGGGCAGTGATGGCGAACCTATGACACGCGAACTCATTTTTTTGGTTGATTTTTCTTTGTTAAAGGCATTTAAATCTATAAAATAAATATCAAAAATATAAGTCTTTGTTTTACTATGGTTGCAGATATCAAAAAATTTCTATATGTGACACGGCACCAGAGTTAAGTTAGGGTTTTTCAAAATGCTGACACGCCGAGCTCAGAAGGTTCGCCATCACTGCATTAGGGGTTGGTCAGCCCAGCGCTCCTCCTGCAGTGAGAGCTCCCCCTGCTGCACAGGCGCGGTATGACAGCTCCACACCCTGCCCGGTGTCTGATTGTCTCAGGGTGTCACGCTCCTAGTGTCCCAGGTGAGCCACACCTGGGCAGGAAGAGACACACAGATTGAAGTGCCTCTTGATGTGAAGACTCAGGACGTTGTAAGAAGCGCAGTGGCCGAGCAGAGCAGGGGGCAGTGTCTTAGCTCAGCTTCCTTGGCGCCATGTCTGAGCAGGGCGAGCAGCTGCCAGTGACCCTGTGTGCCAGGGTGGGAAAGGCCCACTTTTGCTGCCCACGGCCCTTTCCCACGGCTCACCTTCACCATCAGGAAGGACAGACAGTCTAAGGAAATGTTTGCAGTCACAGGCCTCCTGGTTCCAGGCTCAGCTCGCCTAGCGAGGGCACATACTTACCCTGGGGCAGGAGTCACCGTGGGCACAGGGTCCCACGTCAGGGCCAACGGAGGCAGGTCTGCCACTGCTGACCCCCTGACCTTCCCGCTTCGCAGGGTAAGACAGTGATCCAAGCGGAGATCGACGCGGCAGCCGAGCTGATCGACTTCTTCCGATTCAACGCCAAGTTTGCCGTGGAGCTGGAGGGGGAGCAGCCCCTCAGCGTGCCGCCCAGCACCAACAGCGTGGTGTACCGGGGGCTGGAGGTACCACCGGTGCAGGGTGCTCGGGGGATCCTGGAAACCTTGAGCTTGGCCTCACCACCTCCTCTGTCTCCAGGGCTTTGTGGCGGCCATCTCCCCTTTTAACTTCACTGCGATTGGCGGCAACCTGGCGGGGGCGCCGGCCTTGATGGTAAGATATGGGCCGCGGGCAGGGGTGGCGGGAGCTCAGCATCATTCCCGCCTCAACAGAGGGAAGGGTGCACTCGAGCCCCTGAGGTCCCAGCCCTAGTCATGGCGAAGCACAGAGGGTGGAGTGAGTGTGGGGCCGTGGAAAGGCTTTGGGGTCAGAGGCTGGTTTGGGTCCCGCCTTGCCCTGCTCTACGTGACCCCCGTTAAGCCTCCACTCTGCTCGGAGGCAGTTTCCTCGTCTGCAAAGTGGAAGTAATAGGAAAGCCTGTGTCCAGGGTTGTGAGGAGCAAATGAGACGGCCACGTGACACACCGAACGCCAGGCAGGTCTGGCCCTGTGCAGGCTAGTCTATGGTGACGGTTAGTGATGGTGATGGATTATAGCTCACTTTTGAGTGCTTGCTATGTGCTGGTGACTTAGTTGTCATGGTCGTATGGCTAGTTGTGTGTTTTTTATCCTCACCCAAGGAAATTTTTTCCATTTGTTTTTTATAGAGTAGAAGGGGGGGGGGAGAGAGAGAGAGAGAGAGAGAAAGAAACATCGATCTGAGTGAGATACATCAATTGTTTGCTTCCCGCATGCGCCCTGACCAGGGCCAGGGATTGAACCTGCAACCCTTTAGTCCACAGGCCAACACTCTAACCACTGAGCCAAACTCCACGTAGTTTTTTAAAAAGTGTTTTTATTGATTTTTAGAGAGAGGAAGGGAGAGGGATAGAGAGATAGAAACATCAATGTGAGAAACATTATCGATCGGCTGCCTCCTGCATGCCCCCCTCTGGGGATTGACTGGGAATCGAGCCGGTGACCTCTTGGTTCCCGGGTCAGTGTTCAATCACTGAGCCACACCGGTCAGGGCTCCACTTAGTTTTAAAGGATGAAGCTGACCATCATCCTCATGAGCTTCCGGTCCAATGGGGCAGACGTAGCCCTGCGTTCAGTGGGCCTGGTGTCTGGGAGCTGCAGGAAGAGGGCTGACAGTGGTCGGGGGCCTGGGCCCAGGCAGGAAGGCTGGGTGAGCTGGAGGACGCTCATGCACAAGGCTGTCCCCGTGCCTCTGCCCATGGACAGACGCGCACACGCCCAGATGCCCACGTGCCCTCCCCAGGACACGTGCAGAGAGAGCCTTGTGCGCACTTGCTCAGCCACACCTGTGAGCACCCAGCAACTCAGAAACACCCAGAGCAGAGCTGCCTGAGGGTGCAGGCAGGGCCAGCCCGTGCAGGCTTCTGGAGGAAGGGTGCCTCGGCTGGTGTGGTGGTGTTGGCGAGGGCTGTTAGAGCACAGCGCCTGGCACCTGGAGGTGTGGTCGGGTAGGGGACATCCAGGCCTGCACAGGGGCCTGCTGCACAGGGAGGGATGACCATGCTTCAGGGGGTGGGGTCAGGGCTGGGCCCTGGCCTTCTGCCTTCTGGTCATCATGTGCCTTCCGAGCAGGGCAATGTGGTCCTTTGGAAGCCCAGTGACACGGCCATGCTGGCCAGCTACGCCGTCTACCGCATCCTCCGCGAGGCTGGCCTGCCCCCCAACATCATCCAGTTTGTGCCAGCTGACGGGCCCACATTTGGGGACACGATTACCAGCTCAGAGCACCTGTGCGGCATCAACTTCACAGGCAGCGTGCCGTAAGTGGGGGGTGGGGAGTTGGGGGAGGCAGGGTGCTTCAGGGAGGTTCGCCTTGCACCTCTGTCCCGAGCTGGGCTGTGAGGAGCGAATGAGATGGCACGTGACACGGTCTGCCGCCGACCGGACTCACTTGGTGTGCTGCTGTTGGGGGGCCACTTCCCCTCTCGGAGCCTCCGTGTCTTCACTGTCCTAGTGATGGCTCTGCACACACGGCGCTCTACGTGGGACAGGATGACAGGGCCTGAACCCGGGTGGAGACCTGGGAATGAGCAGCAGGCACATTCGATCGCCTGTCTGTGGGTCGGGGTGGGAGTCAGCGGGAATGTCTGGGCTCAGGCAGGAGGCCTCGTTCACAAGGTGACACCCGGAGGCCCAGCAGCGGGAAGGTTGGGACAAAGATGACTCACATGTTGGCTACTTTGAGTTTGGGGAGCCCACGGACCACCGGGTCAGCATGGGGGTCCACCCGGGTGTCACTGGGACCCCGGCGGCGGCCTCTCTCTGCTGGCCTCCGGCTCCTCCACCCGCCTCCCTCCGGGGTGTGCCGGGTGGCGTGGCGTTAGAATTGCTGAGGAGGCCGTTTCCAAAGGCCTGCTCTGCCAGCACAGCCCCGCGGGGCCCTGCCTGTTAGCGGGCGGAGCAGGCTTGGCCCCCATTTGCCATGCTCTGATGAGCAGAGGCTCAAAGGTGGGAAAGTCATAAATTAGTATTAGCTACTGTGTCGCCGGCTCCCTGGTGATTAGCATTTTTATTGTTTTGCGGTGCTGAGGTTGGTCACACTCTCGGAGCCCAGGGAGGAGGCGGGGGCCTACGCTTCCTCTCCAAGGATCCTCCTCAGTTTGGCCTCTGGAGCCCCATGCAGCTAGTGACAGTGTCTGTCCCCCACCGGCACCTAGTGTGCCCGGCACTGTCCTAACACTGGACTCATTGCAGTGAACAGCCCTGCCGTGGGATTGTTCCCTCCAGTTCCCAGATGAGGTGCAGGATTTGAGGCTCAGAGAGGTTAAGTAATGAGCGAAAGGTCACACAGCCATGGGTGTCTGAGTCAGAGCTTGAACCCAGTACTTCCTCCCCGCGCCCTGGTCTTCTCTGCACCATCTTGCCACCAAGGCTCCCCTTGCTGCCTCCCCATAGGCCTGGGATGCTGCCCATTTCCAGCTGCCACCACCTACTGGGTACCCTACCACCTCTGCTGGGACCCCTGCTCGCCTCCTGGGCTGCTGACCCTGGCGTGCCTCACTTGGCTTTTCGGCCCCTTCTGCTGGGACCTGTGCCCACCCCCCATGACCTTCACCCTCAGATACCCGAGCTGGCTCCCTAATCCCCACCCTGTCCTCATTTCAGCACCTTTAAAAACCTGTGGAAGCAGGTAGCCCAGAACCTGGATCGCTATCGCACCTTCCCACGCCTGGCCGGAGGTAAGGGCCCCTCTCCCTGCCCCCTCCCCGGTGGCTCCAGGGACCCCTCCCTTTCCTGGCCATCATGAAAGAGGAGAGGATGCAGCCATAGGTAGGGTCGTGCTGCAGGAACTGAACCCTGGGGGGCCTTAGGTACAGAACCTCGCTTTGGCAGGCACTGGGGGTGTGCAGAGCACCTGTGCCTCAGGATGCATTTTTCTTTCTTTCATTCATTCATTCATGCCTCATTCATTCAGCATTTTAAGTACCATGAGTAGGGAAGGAGCCCTGGCATTGACATGGGTGGACCCCCTCTCCTCTTGCTGGGTTGGGGGGTTAGGGGAAAGCTGTGCCACTTCTGGGAGGTCGCCCGGGGCCTAGGATTCTGCTATTTCCTCTGTCATTGTATTGGGCAGCACCCTGGCCCTGGCCTCAGTTATTTCATCTGTATAATGGGGGAGTTGTTCCTGATGACCCCTGATGCCCTTCACCCTTGGGCATCAGTTTTTTCATCTGTAGAGTGGGAGAATAGGCCTGGCTCACTGGTTTCTGGGATGCTGCCCAGCTCTCACTCTGTGCCTCTCCTGCTCTCATCCGCCTGGTATGGGGGCACTGATTACAGGGCCCCGTGGATAGGTGTAGGCCGTGTGGTGGGCCCCTGAGCTGGCCGGAAGAGCCTGCTCCTTCATTTGTTCCCCACCCTGGCCCCTGTAGAGTGCGGTGGGAAGAACTTCCACTTTGTGCACCGCTCAGCGGACGTGGACAGCGTGGTGAGCGGGACCCTGCGCTCAGCCTTCGAGTACAGTGGCCAGAAGTGCGCGGCCTGCTCCCGCCTCTACGTGCCTCACTCGCTGTGGCCTCAGATCAAAAAGCGGCTGCTGGAGGAGCACAGCAGGATCAAAGTGGGCGACGTGAGTGCTGCCTCCATCCCTGCTCGGCCCAGCGGGCGGCTGATGGGACTGAAGGTTCCCGTGGGTGGGGCTGGTGTGCGGGAGGGGCCTTCCTTTGTCGGGGTCTGTGGCAGCTCAGTCTCTTCTGGTGTCTCCCCTGCCTGCAGCCTGCAGAAGACTTCGGGACCTTTTTCTCTGCAGTGATTGATGCCAAGGTACGGGCTGGAATCCAGTTGTTCCTGGGGGGCTGAGGCTGGACTGGGTGGGAGAGGGAGGAAGAGATATCGGGGCCTCAAAGGGGAACAGCGCCGCCCCGCTACTTCCAGGAAGGCAGCCACATCGCCACCCTGCCTCCAGCTTGGTAAAGGGCAGAGTCCTCCAACCAGAGAACTTGCCTCCTGCACACCCTGCAGCCAAGCTCAGCAAGCCCATTTAAGTGCATATTCATGCAATTAGGCCCACACACCTGTGTGCATAAACCTAATTGTGCACGCATGAACACGTTCATGTGTAGGCATGCGTGTCAGCTTTCCACAGAAATGCATACACATTCATGCATTCATATCTCCATATAAGAACAAATCCACCCGTGTGTGCATGTAAAGATATTCATGTACATGTTTGTGTTTAGAGGCACATGTGTAGGTCTACATAGATAAACATGTGCATGTTACAGGCATACATATGGGGTGGGCAAAAGTAGGTTTATAGTTGTAAGTAATACAATAATAAATCGATAATACAAGAATAAACTGTGATTCACGTACTCACAATTGTAAACCTACTATTGCCCATTGTGTATATCTACATGCTTTAACAAAGCAACATGGCCATGCATATGCCCGAATACATATATGTCATGTGCGTTTGGTTATATTTATATGTGAATATATACCTGTAGTTCTAACACACACAAGCATGCATGTCTGCCCTTGTCTCTGCCATGGCTCGTCCAGACACTCCGGGCCCTCCCCTCCTCCATTTCAGAATTCAGGTCCTTCTGGAACAGGTGTATTGGGGTGAGTGTACTGCAGGGCTGCTGCTGGGAATGGTCCCCTAGCCGGTCTTTGACACTCTTCCTCCCTGCCCCCTGCAGTCCTTTGGTCGCATCAAGAAGTGGCTGGATCACGCCCGCTCCTCACCCAGCCTCACTGTTCTGGCGGGCGGCAAGTGGGACAACTCTGTGGGCTACTTCGTGGAGCCCTGCATTGTGGAGAGCAAGGACCCTCAGGAGCCCATCATGAAGGAGGTGACTGGGCGGGTGGCTGGGAGCACGAGAGGACAGCCTCCCACTCGGCACAGGACACACAGGGCCCTGGCCCGTGCTCGTCTTCTCGGGGCGTATCCCAATTCCGGTTGAGGAAAGGGAGGCCCTAGACAGCGAAGATCACACCCGGGGAGAGCAGAGCCAGGCCTTGAGCTCAGGCCTCCTGACCCCAAACCCAGTGCTGGCCCTGCCACCCTGGCCATTGTAGCACTTCCATTGCTCATGCCCCCGCAGCAGTCTTCTCAGCTGACATTGACCTGCTCACCTGTGGCCGCCCACAGCTGGCCCTTGATTGAAGTGAGGGCTATATTATCAGTCCCATTTTACAGATGAGAAACTGAGGCCCCGGGAGATCAAGACACCTTGGTGGCAGCAGGGACAGAATATTGTTGGGCAGTTCCTGGACCAGCTGTTGCCAGAAGCCTACTGTTTCCATGGCTTGGGCCCGTGCCTCTACGGGTGTGGGTTTGGCTAGCAGGGGCCCAGAAAGTGTCCTTGGACCTTTTGCCACGGTGGGATGGGGCGGGTAGGGCAGGGGCCGGGCACGGTTCTGTCCCGGAGGGAATCAGAGGGACACTGCGTACGCCAGGCCCTACTTGCAGGGGCTGAGGTGTGGACTGGGGCCTGGGGACCGGGACTGAGAATAGAGGCAGAGTCCAGAGCAGGCTGGGAAGCCTCAGGGCGCTGGTCCAGGCTGATGCTGACCTTGGACTTCTCTCACTTCTCTCCCAGGAGATCTTCGGGCCTGTGCTGACCGTGTACGTCTACCCAGACGACAAGTACAGGGAGACACTGCGGCTGGTGGACAGCACTACCAGCTACGGCCTCACGGGGGCAGTGTTCGCCCAGGATAAGTGAGTGGCCACAGCCCCTCTGCTCTAGGCCTGGTGTCCTGTCCACACCCTGGACACTGCCCTCTTGGACATGGTCTTAGTAATAATGCCGCCCCTTGGTTTCTGTCCACTCCCCTCACCTCAGCCCTGGCTGGCAGGCAGGCCTCCCAAGCGCAGTTACCCAGAGGCAGCCTGGCTCTTTGTTAAAGTGCAAGTTCTGGGGCCCACTTTCGAATTTGGATCTAGGGTGGGCCTGGGAGTGGGAGCTTCTGCCCAGCTCCCCGAGTCTGAGGGGGCCCTGCTCCTCGAGGTCATCGTCTCAGCTGCAGAGTGGGACACGGGCTCAGGCCAGGGTCACTGCTCACCTTGCAGAGGCAGGATTTGAACCTTTGCTTTTCCCTCCTCCATGGCTCCCCTTGTCTGCCTCTAAGAGAGGGGATGGAGGTGGGAGTGGAACCTGAGGGGCAGGCTAGGGGCTTGGGGGTCCCCCAGTTCCCGAGGGGCAAGAAAATTGGACCATGATGGGCCACTCCCTTGAGTGTGTGCTGCCTGACCCACACCCTCAGTCCTTGCAGGAGCCCCACGAGGGGACGTGAAACCCCCTTTCCAGAGGGGACGCTGAGGCTCAGACCCTGAGTCACCTGCCCAAGGGCCCACAGCTGGTGGCTGGCCCAGCATGGCCCCAGGCTGGGCCTAGTGCTCACGGGATAGCCAGCCTGGGCTGGGGCTGGGGCTGGACCTGGGCTGGGGCCGTGGGTGAGCTGGCTGCGCTGCCTTGTAGGGACGTTGTCCGGGAGGCCACCGAGATGCTGAGGAACGCTGCCGGCAACTTCTACATAAACGACAAGTCCACTGGCTCGGTGGTGGGCCAGCAGCCCTTTGGGGGAGCCCGAGCCTCTGGTGAGTGTGTCCGTTTCCAGAGGGGAGCCAAGTTTCTATGGGAGACTCGAGAGCCTTCATTTCAAGGGTGTTAAGAGTAATAAGAACAGCACTGTACTCACCCCAAGTCCTTTCAGCAACCTCGTGAGCCAGGGTGCTAAATTCTCCCCATTTTACAGAGGAGGAAACTGAGGCACAGGGTGGTGAAGTGACTCGCACAAGGGCACATGGCTAGGAAGTGGTGGAGCTAGCATTGGACCCAGCTCCCGCAGCCTGTACCACCATGGCCCGGGCCATTTTGGTCCAACTCCCTCCTCCTTATAAGTGGGGAAACAGAGGCTCAGATTGGGCTGGTGACTTTCTCGGATCCCAGCTGCCTAGTGGCAGAGCTGGTGCCCTCCACAGTGTCCCCTCTGCCTCCGAGACACCCCGGGCAGGTGGGGCACATGGACCCCAGGAGTGCCGGCATCCTGTCTACTCCCAGTCCCGGCCCCACCCGGCCTCCCGCTAAGGGGGCTCCTCACAGGTGCGCTTAGGAAATGCCCCTGTGTGCACATTTTGTTTTAGTTTAAATGCTGGTGCCCCATTCATTCTGTCGGATCCTCCCCTCGCCTTTCCCTCCTGCCCAGAGCTGTTGCATCTTTTTCCCACAGGAACCAATGACAAGCCCGGGGGGCCCCACTACATCCTGCGGTGGACGTCGCCCCAGGTCATCAAGGAGACCCACAAACCTCTGGGGGACTGGCGCTACTCATACATGCAGTGAGCCCCTCGGCGCCTCCGCCGTCCACCTGTCTGTCCGTCCAGGTGACTGACCTCGGTGCACTGGGCCTACCCAGCCCCTCCACCCTGCTCCCTGGAGGGCAGCCCCTTTTCTAGAGCCAAGGGCTGGCCTCGAGCCCCCCACTGGCCCGTATCCTGGCCTGTCCCACATCTCGGGGCCAGGCGCCCAGCCCTGGTTTGATCCTGCTGGGAAGGGACAGGCGTGCTGCCCCTCGTCCCGTCGGCCGTCCTAGGAATTACCTCTCAGAGGGTGACCTGGGTGCCGGCTGGCTCGGCATCTTTCCTCCTTTGCTTCTGCACTGTGGCCCAGCGGTGTCGCAGGGGTGGGGAACGTTTGGCCCGAGGGCCATGTAAGGCCCACAAAATCGTTTGGTCTGGCCCTGCCAAGGCATTAGGAGTGAGTTAATTAAATGTTTGACCGAATATAGCAGGCTGATTTTTAAGTTGATAATGTTGTCTGGCCCACGAATGATGTTATAAATATTCAAATGGCCCTTGGGCAGAAAAAAGGTTCCCCACCCCTGGTTTAGGGACTTGGGGAATGACAGTGGGGCAGCTCCTGATCCCTTGGGAGAAAGGAGGCAGCTCCGGGTCCTTTGGCAACCTCATTACCCACAGGGCTCCTGGCCTTGGCCCTGGCATCTCCAGGGCTGCAGGAGTGGGTGTGATCAGGGCGGTCTGCAGGGTGCCCGGGCACTAGCTGACCTGGCCCTCTTTGGTCTGGGTCATCCTCCTTTCACACTAGCTCTTTGCCCAACCACACGAGCCAGTGGGTACCTGTGCCTGACCTTAAGCCTTAGATGCCCATGTGCCTTTCTCCAGGGCTCCTGCCTGCCCATGTGATTCCTGACCGTCTCCATGTGGTGAGGCTGGGGGGCCGTTGGAGGCCACCTGCCAAGATGTGGGACATGCTGGTCCTTTGTGTTGGGGCTGGGATTTTGGAAACTGTGGATGGGCCCAGCCTCCAGGACGGCCGCCCTCAGCTGCATTTGCCTGGTTTCCCTGTGGGAGCTCAGTTCCCACTGGCTGTGGTAGCACAGGCCCAGGTAGACGTTGCTCCCACTATCCCAGCCCCTGAGACCTACCCTAGGTCCCCATCCTGCCAGGACCTGGGATTGCCTGTAGAATCTTCTTCCTTTGCATGCGAGTGGCTTTGCGTGGACTGGTGTTGGGGGGCCTGTTCTTTGTCTGATGCAGCCAGTCGGTGGACTCTCTAGCCCAGTGGTCCGCAAACTGTGGCTCATGAGCCACATGCGACTCTTTGGCCCCTTGAGTGTGGCCACGAAGTTTCAATTGCACTGTACGTGCGCGCCCGCACGTGGTATTTTGTGGAAGAGCCACACTCAAGGGGCCGCAGTTTGCTGACCACTGCTCTAGGACAACTAGGTTGGGTTCTGAGTGGCCAGGGATCTGTAAGGGGTGACTTTGGAGAGCAGTTTTTATGGAGCCGTAAAAGTGCTGGGCCCTCCTCAAGGACAGCTGTCAGGGGCTCCCCATAGGGTAGGGTGGCCACTGCCCAAGTGCCAGGACCTCACACTGGGCCAGAGGTCAGGGGTGAGTGCCAATGCTGCCTGGCAGGTGCGGGTTCTGCACCGTTTCCCACAAGGTGCCAGGTCAGGAGGCTGGGTGGGTGGGGTGGAGATGTCCCTGGTTCTGCTGGCTCTACACTGTGAGGTGCCATGGGATTCGCCCTGACGACACCCAATAAAATACCTGTGACTTAACCAAATCGGTCTTTCTGGTGGGGGTGGGGGGCAGCTTCTAAGTCTGATGGCATTGCCAGCGTGTCATTGGGTGTGAGGAGTGCAGTGCCCTCGGTGCTATGGAAAGAAGGGCAGGCACTGATGTATGGGAATACCTGCTGCGGTGGTGGGAGCTCTGGAGCCAGATGGGCTGGGTTCAAATCCCAGCTCCAAAAAGCTGTGCAAACTCTCTGGCCTTCTGTCTCTCCACCTGTAAGATGGGAAAAGTAATATATGTGATATGTATGCCCACACCGTTGTCATGAGAAATGTGTTAATCAATGTAAGTGTTTAGAACAACGCCAGACACAGAATTCATGGTTCGCCAATGTTGCGCATTTACCCATTGTGTAACAGCCACTGCTATGTGCTGTGATAAGTTTACACGCCTGGATATTTTAGCTAAATGTTATTCTAGATGTTTCTGTGAAGGTGTTCTTGGATGAGATTAACATTTAAATCAGTGGACTTTGAGAAAGCAGATTACCCTCCATAATGTGGGTGGGCCTCATCCAATCAGTTGAAGGCCTTAACAGAAAAAGACCGACCTTCCCGAACAAGAAGGAATTCTGCCAGGAGACTGCCTGTGGCCTCAGCCGCAGCTCCTCCCGGGCCTCTGGGCTGCCAGCCTACTGGCAGAATTTGGATTTCCTCACCCCACAATCTTGTGAGCCGTTTCCTTACAATAAACCTGTCTCCTCTGTGCCTCCGTTTGCTTCTGTGTCTCTGGAGAACCCTGAGAATAACGTGCCAGGGACTTGGTTTCTCCCGAGCGCCTGAGGGAGCAGGTGCTGCCATGCCCCCGTTCTGCAGTGAGGACAGTGCAGAAAGGTAAGGGGCCCTGCCAAGTGTGTGGCATCACTGGTACAGAAGCACAGGGCTGTCCAGTTCCGGAACCCGCTCTTTCCTCCATGCAGATGTTCATACACGGCGCTGACTGCCTTGCAAAGACCCGCTCAGCTGCCAGATGACATGAGGGGAGCAACTGTGGCCACTTAGCTTGAGCCCAGTTTGTGGGTCCAACCCCACCTGGGCCAGCTGACTTAGAGGGGGTCACGTGTGTCCTGGCTTGTCCCCACACACAGAGAATGTATAGGGGTGTCACCTATACCAGCTCCTGGCCGACAGGCTGACTCGGAGCTCCTGGGGGTCCAGAGGAAGCATTGGGGTACAGACCCACCCTCTTGAGAGAGTCACGCCATTTCCATTCATTCCCCCACCACACTGACACCCCTATCCCAGGTCCAGCAATCTGGGCTGTTGGCATGGAGGGTCTCAGAGCTCTGGGACGGGGGTGAAGACTACCCTTGGCAGAGCCCCCACCCTGCTCACCCAGGGGCTACCACTGATTCGTGCAAGTGGGGGCTTGACCCGGACAAAGGGTAGCACCCAGTGCCCAGGCTGGAGTTTATGGAAGTTAAGGATGGCAACTGCATTTTGTAGTCCTTACTAATGTTTTTGCATGAATGGAGTGACTTGCTCAAGGTCACACCAAGACAGCAGCAGAGCTGGCTGACCACTGGCTAAGAGCATTAGCTACCTAATCTCATGAAGCCTTGACAGTGGCCTTGCTAGGTAAGGCACACCGAGGTGTGAGAGTTACTTCAATCATCTGTGCCTCAGTCTCATCTGCAAAATGGGAGCCATAGAATGTACCTTTAGGGCTGCCGTGAGTATCTGAGGATGTGACATCTAAAGCCTTGAGCACAGTGCCCTCGCCGGTTTGCTCAGTGAATAAAGCATTGGCCTATGGACTGAAGGGTCACAGATTCAATTCCAGTCAAGGGCATGTACCTTGGTTGTAGGCTCAATCCCTGGCCCTGGTTGGGGCACGTGTGAGAGGTAACCAATGGATGTGTCCCTCTCACATTGATGTTTCTCTCTCCCCCTCTCCCTTCCACTCTTTTAAAAAAAAAAAAATTAATGGAAAAATATCCTTGGGTAAGGATTAACAACAACTAAAAAGTGTGCTAATCTAGGTGCATGGAAACAATGGATAGGGCTTAAGGCAAAGATGAAGCCTTGAGCATGCACCAGTGGATCTATTTACTACACTGGCCTCCAGACACCACACAGGAACCGAGGATGGACGTGTGGTGGGGGAATGAATGGAAATGGCATGACTCTGAAGAGGGTGGGTCTGCACCCTAATGCTTCCTCTGGACCCCCAAGAGCTCCGAGTAGCCTGTCAGCCAGGAGCTGGCACAGATGACCTTCATTTCCTTAGAGTTCATGCCTGACTGGCCACCCCTGGGACCGCGGTGGCACGGACGTCCGGCCTCAGTCAAATGGTTCACGCTCCAAGCCCGGACCTGCACTGGGCCCCAGTCACACAGGGAAATGAAGAGACTCCATGGGCCGGCACGGACACGGGGACTTACTGTGGTGACCATGCAAAGAGGCCTTGGGCACCTGCTCGGGTACTGGGCTCTCAGGAGCCACCAGCCCCCTGGTCTGGGAGGCGAGGGAGGGCAGAGGAAACGGAGCGAGCAGTGGCTTGGAGCTACCGCCTGCCCTAGTTAAATGGAGGTGGAGGTGCCGGTGGGGAGGGCAGGGAATGACAGTGGTAGAGGAGCAGCTAGAAGTCAGGGACCTGGTGGAGCAGGTGATAAGGAGCATGAGCTGTGAGGTCCATAGCCCTGGGTTCACCCCCGGCCCTCCTACTAACCAACAGGATGACCTTGAGTAGTTGGTCGACCTTTGGCCTCCGTTAGGCCTCCCACAGAAGGCATTAGGCTCCTGAGCCTTGGTTTCCTCATCTGTACAATGGGGGCAGAATCCTTCCCACGTGTGCTGAGCAGACGTAATGCTGTTTGAAAGCATCGCAGAGGCTCCATGAAGGTGGCTTCCCTTCCCTTTGGCTCTTATTGGGCTTGTGGTCATTTGGAACCTCCAGATCCTTGAGTTCACCCAGCAAGAATGGTGAGGAGGCATAAGTGGGTCTCTGGGTTCAAGTGGAGTTTCCCCCACAGGCCTCAGCTCACCCTTAGATCCCCGAGCTCCAGGGCCCACTCCACTGTTAGCTTCTAACCTCTCACAGGCTGGGCCCCCTGAGAAGAGGCTCCGAGGCCTCCCTGGTGACCCTCCTCCGAAGTGTCTGAACCAAGTCAGCTGCTGGGGTGCGGGGTGGCCCATCTCCCAGACCTTTGGGGAGACCCTCCCTGCCACACCATAAGCCAGATTGGAGCTGGGTTCCCAGCTGCCTGGCTTTTCCTGGATGGGGGAGCACTGGTAAGAAAGAAACTGGTGAGTAGGGTGGGGAAGGGCTGATGCAGCCCCCAGTCCCTGGGGTTGGGCCCTTCTTGGGGGCTCTTGTGCTCCATGGGAGGGGAGGAAGGAAATTGAGGGCAGCCTCCTCCAGCCCCACTTTTCTGTGAGCACCTTGGGGGAGCAGACACAAGGCAATGGGCAGCTTCTCCAGGGCCCCCCATTTCCACAGCTGCCCCCACCCCATGTACTTTGCATGAGCTTGTCATGGCTCTCCCTCACCTTGGCAACCAGTGGCCACACAGGTGTGTGCATAGGGACCTCAGGCCCTGAACTAGGCCATGAGGGTGACAGTTGTGTCGGGCCTCAGCCACCAGGGTATGTGCTGTGCGTGCAGCCCTGAAGGAGAGTCATGGTGACGCAGTGTCCCAGGCTCCTGTCCTCAGGGCGGTCAGTGACTCAGCCACATCCAGTTGCCTCTCAGATGATGTCAAGGTCAGAGGACCGTAGAGACTCTTATCGCCCGACCCAGGGCGCCTCAGTGCGGGGTCTCGGACAAGCCCAAGCCTGGGGGCGCCCTGGATTCTCAGCTGCATTTGCCAAGTGTTACATTCGCATCCAGAACTTTCATCAGAATCTCCCAAGGATCCCTGCCCCTGCATGCGAGTCCAGTTTACAGGAGGGGAACGGAGGCAAGAGAATGGAAGGGGCCTGCCCAAGGGCAGCCTGCGCACTGACTGCCACAGAGCTGGACCGGAAGCCGAGACGTCTGACCTCTGACCATTGCTCCTTCAGATTTGGGTCCTCAGGGGGCTCCTCCTTCCACGCTGACAGCCACACTAAGAAGCTCTCCCTGTCCAGGGGGCCCCGTGTTCCTTCCACGTTGGATCTGCTTGGTTGCCACCACTCCCATCAGCCCCCCTTTGAGCCTTGGATTCCTTCAATCCACTAACCTGCTCTGTGGCTTTGAATTTTACTGTCCCTCTCTGAATCTCAGTCTTCTCATCTGCTAAATGGGGAAACAGAAGAGGTAGTGAGAATAAAACGGGATGACTGAGCATGGTGAGTGCTCAGCAGTGAGCCCTCAGAACACAGTTTCAATAGAAATGACCTGTGCTCCTGGTCACTGTCACTCCCCCCAGGCTGTGGCACAGGCCCTGCCCCCCTCCCACCCCAACACACACACATACAACTCCTTATCTCCTCTCTGCTGGCCGCACAGCCTGGGGCATCACGGAGCTGTCCTGACTCGCTTTACACCTGGATGGGGTTGAGGGGAAACCACCTTAGAGTCTGGCTGTGTGATTTGAATCTCAGCTCTGTGGTTTGTACAACCCAGGGGGAGTTTCTTAACCTCCCGGTGCCTCAGTTTCCTCATCTGTGAACCGGGGTTAGAAACACTTCCAGTTTTCGTGAGCATTAAGAGAGATGGAGACTGCCCGGGCTGGTGTGGCTCAATGGTTTAGCATCGACCTGTGAACCAGAAGGTCACGGTTCAATTGATTCCCGGTCAGGGTACATGCCCTGGTTACAGGCTCAATCCCCAGTGTGGGGCGTGCAGGAGGCAGCTGTTCAGTGATTCTCATCGTTGATGTTTTTATCTCTCTCCCTCTCCCTTCCTCTCTGACATCAGTTTAAAGAGAGAGAGAGAATGGCAAGCACTCAGCACAGCTCCTGGTTCTTACTGACAATGACTACGGCTTGGGGGACACCTGCTATAGGCCAGATGCCATTTAATTACCACAGGCCAGGCCACCTTGGTCAGGCGCTGAGGTCGGGCCCCATCTGCCAACCTGCTCTGTCTCCTGGTGGATCTCCTGTGTCCTTAACTGCAAGGTGTTTGAACATCAGGGGATGCGACCTATCCCCCGCCACGAGGCAGGCCAGGGCCCAGTTGGCAGGACATGCTCCCTCTACCTCCAAAGGCAGTTCTTCCTGACCACCCAGGCCCCGCGATCCCTAAGAGGGGATCCTCCGCATTCCAGCCTCCTCCCCTCCCCCGGAGCCCTCTGATCTCTCCACCTGTCCCCTGTGCATTCCCCACCCCGGACAGTGGCAGGACCGTCACTATGTAAATGTCTGTGCAAATCCCTTGGAATTAAGCGGCCAGCCCTCTGGTGAGGCAGAGCGACCTCTGGGGACCCCACTTCCCAGCCATGGGACCTCAGGCCGGGGTGGTCTGCTCCCTGTTCTTTCTGCTCCAGGCCCTGGCTGTGCCGGCTGAGAACCCGGACTTCAGCCTGGCAGGGGATTACCTCTTGGGTGGCCTCTTCACCCTCCATGCCAACGTGAAGGGCACCGTCCACCTCAACTTCCTGCAGGTGCCCAAGTGCAAGGAGTGAGTCTCCGGTGGGAGGCTGGACGTGGCGGTGAGGGTGGGTGGGAGCCGGGGCTGGTCCTGGTCCTCGGGAGGCCAGGCTGAGATTGGGAGCTCAAAAAGCTCCTCCTCATTCATTGCCAAATCCCCATCCTGGATCCACCTCGCTGGCCCCCAGGGAGGCCCCACACAGTCCATGGTTCTGAAATGTTGGCCATTGTGTTCTGAAACACTGAGATCTGGGTTGTCCCAATGCCATGTCTCTTACTATAGTTATAGGATGTTTCAGATCATAAGGCCATGTCTCAGAGACCACCAGAGACCACCCGCATCCCCTCTGGCAATTAGGGGGCTCCCAGGGAGTCCACTCCGGGGCCCCGTCAAGACACCAGGTGTCCTAACTTTGGAGGCAGAATGTGGCTCTTGTACAGCAGCTTCTCAGCTGGAGGGGACAGTTTGCCTGTTCCCAGGGCTGTGGTGAGGTGGGCAGGGGCGCTGCCAGGACTGGAGGGGACTTTCTGGCCCTCCCTGTGAGCCCCTGGGGGTGGTAGCCTCGCTCAGAGATTGGGCCATCTCCTGGAGCCAGCCTGGGATTATACAATGTGACCTCGTGCAGAGAGGGTGAAGGCATTCTGGGAGAGAGGGAGAGAGGAAGGAGCGTGCAAAAGATGACTGAGCACTGACTTCTATGATGTTGGGGAAGGTTAGATGCTGGCTTGAGAATGGTGAGGGTGATGGCACAGGGATGGTACGAAACATGACGTTAGATGTTCTGGCACCTGTGGTAATGGTAGGGAGTCCAGTGAAGTGATGGCAGTCATGGAAGTGATGATGGTGATGTTTATAATGGTGATGGCTGGTGATAATAAAAAAAGGTGAAGAGTATGGTGATGATGGTGGTGGTGCTGGTGATAGGTGGTAGGGACAATAGTGGTGATAGTGATGCTGCTAATGTGTTGGTGGTGATGGTGGTGTGTTATGGTGATGGTGAGGATGGTGGTGATGATAGTAGTAATGACAGTGATGATAGTGATAATGATGCTGATGGTGTTGGTGGTGATGGTGTGTTGATGGTGATAGTGAGGATGATGGAGATGATGGTGGTGGTGATGGTAAGGATGGTGATAATGGTGGTGGTGAGGATGGTGGTAGAGATGATAGTGGTGATGGTGATAGTAATGCTGCTGATGGTGGCATATTGATAGTGATGATGATGGTGGTGGTGATGATAGTATTAGTAATGGTGATCACAGACATGTGGTGGCAGTGGCAATGATATTGGTAACAGGGATAGTAAGGTGATGATGGTGAAAGTGGTGTTAGTGATGATGGAGATTATAGTGGGTAATGGTGGCCACACTGGTGGACACTGGTAGAATGGTGACAGAGTCCAGAGCGATGGTGGTAAGGGTGGCAATGGCAGTGATTGACGGTGGCTACAGAGATAGAATGTCAGAGGTGGTCATAGGGATGATGATGATCCTAGAGATGCGGTACAGAGTCATTGAGGTGGTAAAAATGCCAGAACCTTCTGGAGTCTCTCTTTCTTGGGCAAGGCCTGCTTGGCTTTCCTTTGGCGTGTAGGACCAGCAGGCTGGCTCCCCTGCCCACCCCGCTCATTCCGGACCTGCCTCCACCCCATGCGGCCCTCCAGGTACGAGGTGAAGGCGCTGGGCTACAAGCTCATGCAGGCCATGCACTTCGCGGTGGAGGAGATCAACAACCACAGCAGCCTGCTGCCTGGCGTGCGGCTGGGCTACGAGATGGTGGACGTCTGCTACGTCTCCAACAACATCCAGCCCGTGCTCTACTTCCTGGCGCAGGAGGACTATTTCCTGCCCATCCAGGAGGACTACAGCCACTACGTGCCCCGCGTCGTGGCCGTCATTGGCCCTGAAAACTCTGAGGCTACCATGACTGTGGCCCACTTCCTCTCCCTCTTTCTCCTTCCACAGGTGAGATTCCTGGGCCCTGGGAGCAGGGGCTGGGAGGGGACAGAGGTGTGGTTGTCCAGAGGGCTCCCTTCCCCCCCCAGTCATCGGGTGGAAGTGGGTGGGGAGACCAGAAGCAGGACATCAACCCCAATCCTGGGCAAGCAGCCTGGCCTATTGGTTGAGAGCTCAGGCTTTGGAGGCAGACACCTGGGTGTGTGTCTTGGCTCTGAGTCGTGCCCATTGAGCCAATCTCTTAAGTCAGTGGTTCTCAACCTGTGGGTTGCAACCCCTTTAGCGGTCGAACGACCCTTTCACAGGGGTCGCCTAAGACCATCCTGCATATCAGATATTTACATTACGATTCATAACAGTAGCAACATTACAGTTATGAAGTAGCAACGAAAATAATTTTATGGTTGGGTCACAACATGAGGAACTGTATTTAAAGGGCCAGAAGGTTGAGAACCAATGTCTTATGTCTTCTGAGCCTCAGTTTCCCCAGCTGCAAAGTGGGATGATAAGAGTTCTATCCCAGGACTGTCTGATGATTAAAGCATTTAACCTATGCAGGAGTTTTCAGCACACAGTAGGTGGTCGCTAATGTTCCTGTTATGCAGAGCAGCGGTTGCCAACGGTGTGGTCCGTGCTGTCCGAAAGTTGGCGACCGCTGATGTAGAGCATCTTGCACAAGAATGGAAGCTCAGAAAATGCTCAATGTTATCCTGTGTAATTGCCTAGCATAGAGTCTGCCACATAGTAGGTCCTCAACAAAGTGCTATTGGGATTACTACTATTATCACTGTTATCATCACCATGATTGAAAGTGCCTAGTCCAGAACTAGCATAAAATATCTATTCATTAAAAAGTAGCTAGCACTGGACTTGGCACACAGTAGGTAGTTACAAATTCTGTAATTTTTGCTGTTTTAGAGAGAGGAAGGGGGAAAGAGAGAGAAACATCGATTTGTTCCACTTATTGGTGCATTCGTTGGTTGTTTCTTGTATGTGCCCTGACCCTAGATCAAACCTGCAACCTTGGTGTATCAGATCGACACTCTAACCAAGCTACCCTGCTAGGGCCTTTGCTGTTGTTTTTATTCTGTAAAGCATCTAGCACAGGGTCTGACACATAGTAGGTGCTCAGTAAGTGTTCGTATTCTTATGTGAAACATCTACTCCAGTACTGAACTCATTCTTTCATTCATTTAACAAATATTTGCTGAGCACCCACTATGCCAGGTACTGTTGTAGGCTCGGAGGATACAGAAGGGAACTTACAGCTTATCTTCTAGTGGGGAGAGACAGACAGTAAACGGAAATAACTAAGTGGTTTAGGATGTTAGAGGTTGAGAAGTGCAATGGACAAAAGGAAAAGACCCCTACGGTACGGGAGATGGGACACGTCGTGGACTGGCGGAGGTGGGTAGAGGTGGACTGCAGGTTTAAACGGCCCCCTCCCCTCGGGCAGATCACCTTCAGCGCCATCAGCGACGACCTGCGGGACAAGCAGAGCTTCCCCGCGGTGCTGCGCACGGTGCCAGGCGCCGACCACCACCTCGAGGCCATGGTGCAACTGATGCTCCGCTTCGGCTGGAACTGGATCGTTGTGCTGGTGAGCGACGACGACTACGGCCGCCGGAACAGCCAGCTGCTCAGCGAGCACCTGGCCCGCCACGACATCTGCGTGGCCCTGCACGAGGTGCTGCCCACGCCGCAGCCCAGCCAGGTGGTGACGCGGCAGGAGCGCAGGCGCCTGGAGGCCATCGTGGACAAGCTGCGGCACAGCTCGGCGCGCGTGGTGGTCGTGTTCTCGCCGGACCTGGCGCTGCACCACTTCTTCCACCAGGTGCTGCGCCAGAACCTCACCGGCACCGTGTGGATCGCCTCGGAGTCCTGGGCCATCGACCTGGCCCTGCACAACCTCACCGAGCTGAGCCACACGGGCACCTTCCTGGGCGTCACCACCGAGAGCGTGTCCATCCCGGGCTTCAGCGAGTTTCGTGTGCGCCGGGCTCAGGCCAGGACGCCGGCGTCCAACAGGCCCAGCTCGGGGGCCACCTGCAACCAGGAGTGCGACGCCTGCCTGGCCGCCCTCGAGTCCTTCAACACCATCCTCACGCTTTCCGGCGAGCGCGTGGCCTACAGCGTGTACTCTGCTGTCTATGCCGTGGCCCACGGGCTGCACAGCCTCCTCGGCTGCAGCCAGACCCACTGCCCCAAGGAGGTGGTCTATCCCTGGCGGGTGAGGAAAGCCAGGGCCACGGAGCAGGCGCAGAGTCTCTGGTTGCCATGGAGAGCGCAGGGCAGCCCCGCCCCCCTCAGCAGTAGCCTCTCCATCCCCAGTGGGTTCTGGGCCAGTGGGTGGAGAGGCCATGGGACATGTGGCCAAAACAAAAGTCCCTCTTCCTTAATTTAATCCTCACCATCCAAGACAGTCAGTCTGTCTGGAGGTTCAGGTCAAATTCTGTAGAAGCAAACCTGCAAGGAGTGGGGGTCCCAGGGCCCCCTGTGGTTGCTCCAGGGTCCGGGGTGGGGGGTGGGCTGGGGAATGGGTTAGTGGGCCCCCATCAGCTCTCTGGGCGTGGCTTCAGGTTTAGGGGTCACCTTGATTCAGAGCTCAAGTCTGTGTTTTCTGACTCTCACACTCCTCCACCACCCAGCCCGCCCCGGAGGAGGCTTTACTGAGGATCTGGGGGAGCGGAGGGTTTCACAGCGGAGATGCGCACTGTCTCCTTTGTTGCCAGACACCCCTGTGCTGAGCCCATTCCCTGGGGTTTTCACAGTTTGGGGCTCAGCCAATCCCCCAACCCTTGTCTCTGGCCGCTCTTTATTTTTCCCTTCTTCACTTTTCACCCCTCACCGAATACCCGGCCACTTCACTAACTGAGCAATTTAGTTAGTTCTTTAGAATCACCCCTTTATTCTATTTATTTGTGCCTTTCTACCCCATAACCTCACAGTCTAACCTTGCAGCCCTAGTGTGTGTGTGTGTGTGTGTGTGTGTGTTTAATGCAGTTTTTCTTTAAGAGGAATTCTGATGCCAGCTGGTAAAACACTATTTTACCATGTGCCTGCTGCATGAATAACATACAAATTATCATAGGAGCTTTTCTGTGTGTTGAGTGCCCAGTACACATCCACCTTACCTCACGGCCATCCTATGAGGTTGATAACCTACAAGTAGGGAAGCGGAGGGATGGGGAGATAAGTGATTTGCCCACGAACGCTCAGTGGTAAACGGCAGCCCGTGGCTTTGAACCCGGTCTAGCCCATCCCACTGTGGTTTTCCCACTTCTCCTTCCAGGCATTCTCCCAGCCACGGTTGGCAGTAGCTGTGATGAAGGACCGATCGACTTCTTTCCTCCCCTAATAGTGGACACCAAAGAGCATCGATCATAGCAACCAGGCTATCCAGTCCCATTTGCTGAGCACCCACTACGCACCAGGCCCTGGCTGGGCACTGCGAGAGAATCAGACCTTCATCCTGGGAGGGGACGAGGGCAGCTAATAAGATCTGTCCCTGCTGAGTGCAGCAGGAAGTTAGGGTTGCAGCTGTGCGAGGTGGGGGTGGGGGTGGGTGGCAGGATTTAAGCAGGGGAAGGGCAGCCGCTGGACATTCCAGGAGGAAAGTCCTGAGTCTGAAAGCCTCTTTGGGGAGAAGGCCAGGGACCAGCACCCTTGTCTATCTGTCTGTCTGCCTGTCAGTCCCCAAGGTGAGGTGAGCTCTGGGCCCCAATAGACTCTCCTATTTATGGAGGGAAAAAAATCTAGGAGCCAGATTAAGTTGGAAGCCTGTTCAGCATCAGACCAGAGAGGTTCAACGACTTGTTCAAAGTCACACAGCAAATTGAGGACAGAGCCAGGATGGAATTCAGGCCCAGGAATTCCAGTCCCAAGCGTGTTCTAGTTTGTCCCCTTGTCTACATCCTGAGAGGAAGGGGATGGAGTGGGGGAGACTGGAGGGCAGGGGAGATTCCAGCAGCTCTTACAGATGAGAGGGCGTGGACTGTGGTCCCCAGGCATTAGGTTCCAGAGGGATGGCCAAGGGGACTTCCAGAGAAAAGGAATATTAGCAAATCCTCTATAGGAGGTGACAATTTACTATTTTTCAGGCACTGCTCTAAGCCCCCCACATAGATTAACTTATTTATTGCCTCACAGCCCAGAAGATGGGGTTTCTGTTGCTCTCATTTTGTAGAAAAAACTGGGGTTCAGAGAGGTTAAGTGACAGGTCCAAGGCCTCATAGCAAGTGGCCTAAACCCAGAGCTAACTGAGTCCAGAGCCAGAGCTCTCAGCCACTGCCTCCCGAACGCCACATTGACCAAGTCCTGGGGCCCCATTTCACAGGTGTGAAGATCAAGGCCAGTGGGATGGGACTGCTCTCAGGTCTGGCCCAACCTGATGCCAGCTCCACGTCCCTGTTGTCTGGCCCCTCTAGCTGCTCCAGGAGATCAGGAAGGTCAACTTCACCCTCCTGGGCCACCATATCTTCTTTGACGACCACGGGGACCTGCCCATGCCCCTGGAGGTCATTCAGTGGCATTGGAACCAGAGCCAGAACCCATTCCAGACCATCGCCTCCTACCACCCCGCGCAGCGGCAGCTGAAGGACGTCCGCGGAGTCTCCTGGCACACCCCCGACGGCACGGTCAGCTCTCAGGGGCCTGGGCAGGGTCTGTGCCGGAATGGCCAGGGCCCTTTTTATCAAGGAGGACACCCGAGATTCATGTCCCGTAGCTCGTGGGGGGGGGGGTATCTCTATTTGTGGGTGTCCTGCCTGGGGTCTTGTCCTTACACCAATGATTGGAAACTGGAAGTTCAGGGCTTACTGGCTCCTTGGGACCCTGGGAATCAGGACCTCTGCAAAGTAAATATTCACTGGACACGTGTGTGGTAAGGACTTCAATTCTCACGTCAAACCTAGGAAATAGATGCAACCAATCTCCTATCTTATTAGGAACCCGAAGGCACAGAGAGGTTGCATGACCTGCCTAAGGCCACACTGCATGTCTGTGGTGAAGATTCCCTCTGTATAGCATTCAGGCTACATCCTGTCAATTAGTACTCGGGTTTTGGTACAGTAGCTATGCCTTTAAATGTGTGTGGCAGCTGTCAACCTAAAGCTTCATTTTTAATCCTCCTCAGATAATATGCTGTCAGAATTCTGCTGGTGTGGGGAGGGGTAGAAACCTAGCCTTGTGGTGGAGGGGATCGAGGACCTCAAAGCGACTGGAAAACCCCATTACGCTCCTCCTGCCTCACCCTCTAGCCCCAGTTCCAGGGCTGCTGGTCCAGGCTCCTCGGGGCTTTTTATGGAATAAATCGGTTTGGTGTCTTTGTTTGCTAAGGCTGGCGTAACACACCCGGCTTAGAGGACAGAAATGTAGCCCGGGCCAGGTGGCTCAGTTGGTTGGAGCATCATCCCATTCACCAAAAGGTTGGCTGTTTGATTCCTGATCGGGGCACATTCTCAGGTTGTGGGTTCCATCTCCGGTGGAGGTGTGTACAGGGGTCAACTGACGGATGTTTCTCTCTTACTCTGCCTCTCAAATCAATGAAAACGTATCTTTGGGTGAGGATTAAAAAATAATGAAGAGAACAGAAATGTATCGTCTCACAGTCCTGGAGGCTGGAGGTCCAAGATCTAGGTATTGGTAGGGTTAGTTCCTTCTGAGGGCTGGGAGGGAGCATCCATTTCCCGCCTCTCCCCTGGCTCCTGGCGGCTTTCCGTGGCTTCTGCAGCATCACCCTGACCTCTGCCTTCTTTGCCTGTGCTCTCCCTGTGGGTATATCTGTCTCCATGTCTCTCCCTTTTGTAAGGACAATCATCAGCTTAGAGCAAGGCCCACCCTCTCCAGTATGACTTCCTCTAAGCTAGTCACACCAATAAATCAACGAACCACAAGTGTTGGTGAGGATGTGGAGGAAAGGGAACCCTGGTGCGCCCCTGCTAGGATTGCAAATTGGTGCAGCCACTAGGGAAAGCAGTATGAGGGTCCTCAAAAAGTTAAAGACAGAACTGCCTTACGACCTAGCAATTCCACTTATGGGTATTTATCCGAAGAAATCCAAAACACTCATTCAGAAAGATACATGCATCTCTATGCTCCTTGCAGCATGATTTACAAATAGAGGCCTGGTGCATGATCAAGGCCTGGCTGGTGATCAGGGCCAATCTGTGGGGCGACTGGCAGGGCAATTGGGGGGGCCCCCCTGCTGGCACTCGCCTTGGCTGGCCTGGGGTCTGCAGGCTGGGGGCAGCTCTTGCATTGAGTGTATGCCCCCTGGTGGTCAGTGCACATCATAGCAACCAGTCATTCCACCGGTTGTTCCATGTTTGGTCAATTTGCATATTAGGCTTTTATTATATACGATAGCTGAGCTATGGGAGCACCCTAGCTGCCCATCAATAGATGGCTGGATAAAGGTGTGGTATATCTAGGTGATGTTCTTGTTGGTGAACATAAGCATCTGTAGCTATGAGTTTCCCCTTAGCCTTGCTTTGCTGTGTTTGCAGTTTCATTTATCTGTGTTTTCTAATTCCCCCTACGATTTCTCATTTGATCCATAGGTTGTTTAAGAGCATTGTTTAATGTCTAGAAATGTGTGAATTTTCCTGTCTTCCTTCTGTGTTGCATTTCTAACTTCATTTATAACTTGTGTGCTATCTTTAAAAGTCTGTCGAGACTTAATTTGTGGTCAAACGCATGGTCTGTTCTGGAAAATGACCTTTGTGAACTTGAGAAGGATGTGTATTCTGTTGTTGAGCAGAGTGTCCTGTATATGTCTGTTAGATCTACTTAGGTCATTGTGTTCTTCAAGTCCTCTGTTTCCTCACTTATTTTCTGTTTGATTGTTCTACCCGTCATCAGAGGAGGTATTGAAGTCTTTAAGTACTATTGTGGGTTATGAT